ATTTTGAACATAAAATTTCTTATCAATGCGACAACGTGGTTCTTGTAGAAGTTCATACGAGCCAGAAAGATGTTTTACCTCAGGTCAGATGACCTTTTTGGCCAAATTCGGGTTCTCGGGTTTGTTCCACAGGTGATGCACTTAATTCTGCATACCTGAACACTCATGGAAAACCCCAGCAGCCAATCGGCACCAGGTTGACTCACGACGCCTCAAACAAGTCATGGCAATAACCGTACATCATATGTGAAGTCAGGACGAATAGCACGTTTAAGTTCAACGGCATATTTTGCCTTGTAGCTGTATTCCTTCGAACAGTATATCTGATACAAAATCTATGGAAGAAAAAATACAAAATCCAAAACTGTCCAAAAATCTCCAAGGAGCGGACGATTCCAAATCTTTTATTGGCTACCAAACCATATGCACATGACTAGTGATTATTGTGACAATCGACAGCTTTTGACAGGATGTAATTAGTCAATGAAAAACCTTAAAAAGCAAAAACCGGATTAGTTCTTTTCAACTTTGAAGTTACTTAAGGTTCAGTTCGGTTTTAAATACAGAAATTCTTTTGGGGTTTATTTAAAAAAAAAAAATCGAATAGGTTTGGTTATTTAAAGGTCTGTTGGTTCTTGTCGAAAGATGATTATTATCGTGACTAAAGGTGTTTCTGCGCCATCCACGGTCCTAAATGAGTGTGTCTCGCTGTCCTTTTTTCTAGCTTTGTAGAAGAAGGACGGTTATTAGAGATAACGGCGAATTTCTATTAAAAATGCTGATTTCAAATGGTTAACCTTTTCCTTTTTGTAATAATTTTAAAATTAACATAATTAAGTTAATTGTCGAGACTACCAATGGTGCTTCGACGTTTCAGAATTTAAAAAATTGAACCAGTTTTCATGTAATAAGCAATACTTTTAAGATAAATCTAAGGATTATAATAGAGAAGAGTGTGTGGTGATTAGTGACCGTTAATCGATATTTATTTAGAAATCGAGAGATGCGGTCTGGTGTGATGTAGGTTTCAGAAAAACATTTTCTTTATCGTGCCAACGTTTCGATCTTTATTGAGATCATCATCAGGGCAGTAGTACTTACTCACTAAGTAAGTACTACTAAGTAGAAATACTTTGATTGAATATATAAAATATATTTTGCATTGTATAAATTCACTTTCTACATCCAAAATGTAATTGTAATATGTAAACAATGTTTGTAAATCCCAGGCCCTGATGATGATCTCAATAAAGATCGAAACGTCGGCACGAAAAAGAAAATGTTTTTCTGAAACCTACATCACACCAGACCGCATCTCACGATTTCTAAATAAAAAAATAGAGAAGAGTAACGAAAATAATAAAAATATCTGTACTCGCTAGTAGAAAAAAATTCAGAGGACAGCCATAGGGTTGAAACCTTTTCATGTTTCATGTCAATTAGCGTTATTGCAATTAATTGAGATAAAAAAGTCAGTGTCACGAGCGGGATTCGAACCCACAATCTTTGCCTAGATACGCAGCTGCTCTCCCACTTGATCTCTCGTGACTTCGATCCGCTCGGACGCTAACTTTCCATCTCAACCCCACCTTTTGAATTTTCCCTCCTTTTTGTCATTTTTCGAATTTTTAATTGAAGGATATTAATTGGTCGAGAGGACCACGAAAACTAGTGAAGTTACTGTATATATTTTTCATCATTAAACTTGGAAAAATGTATCCAGTATCTTAGCAAGTAAGTTTTTAGAGTAGGAAGGAATATATTCGCTTCTTCTTTACAAAATTTTCGTAAAAAGTCCAAAAATCTTAAATCTGGTCTGCCCCTTTTAAGAAAGAATCACTATAGTCAATAATCTCTGATTTCTGTGTGGTGATTAGTGACCGTTAGTTGATAATTATTCAGAAATCGTGAGATGCGGTCTGGTGTGATGTAGGTTTCAGAAAAACATTTTCTTTATCGTGCCAACGTTTCGATCTTTATTGAGATCGTCTTCAGGGCCTGGGATTTACAAGCAGAAGAAATACATTGATTGAATATAAAAAATATTTTGTTTTTGCATTGTATAAATTCACTTTTTTCCACATCCTACATGCATTTGTTAAATTTAAACAATGTTTGTAAATCCCAGGCACTGAAGATGATCTCAATAAAGATCAAAACGTTGCTCTCTGATTTCGTTGAATCATTTCTTTTCACCTTGTTGAAATTTTGAATCTTGTGCCCAAGATATTAAGCTTTCCTAATAAAACATCAAAAAAATTTTCTTTACCACTTGCTAAACGTTTCGAGGTGATTCCGTAAGAATTCTCTTCCAGTTATCGAGGTGAATCATTTTAGTCGATCCTGTCCCGAGTTCTCTGACTTCTGCGAATTATTTCTCAAGCCTTGTTGAAATGCTCTTGAACCTTGAGGCCGAGATTTCATCTATTGCAAGCATGTTGCCTTATCTCCGTACGTTAAAAAAACTTTTGTCCATTTCCTTCAGAAGGGAATTTTTCATAATTGTATTACCCTGCCATGGTAGTGTACAGTTTTCTTCCAGGTTAGCTAATTCCAATGGCCGCAATATAAATTCGTAAATTAATTTTATTACAAATTGTCTACATCACCAAACACAGTAATATACCTATAAATCACATACCTATAACAAACAGATGTACATTCCTCTGCCACATAAGATATGTAAATACACTAAATTTAGGACTTAGTTAAATTTATAATTAATAAATATGTCCGGGCTTAAGTGATACACCCGGTTTTCTTCTTAATCTCCTTACATTTTTTTGGGGACAGAATGCAAGTTCAAATTTTAACACCCTGTTCATTTTTAAGTAGAATTCAAATATTTCGATTTTTATTGCAATAACAATTTCGATTTTATACAAGCGTCAGTAAATTAGTTTTTGTTGTACGTAGAACTCACTAATATTTTTTTTATTTGACTCAAAAACGGTTTCATATCTAACAATAAGGTCTTTAGGGGGGCGTCGGTAGCCACAACCTTTAGGCGTTGACACGGCGCTCATCACTGTAAGGTAAAGGACCAGGGTTCGAATCCAGCGGCCCTACATTCGAACCCAACATACTTACAAATGGGCTTTTTTTTTTTTATTTTTTTTTTTTTAGTTTACTGTGCAGCGTATTGTATATTTTACAAGCAATCATTTCTGAAGCAATATTCGTTTTAAATTTTTCAAAAGTTGGAATAAATAGATTTACACTATCCAGGTTTTAATAAATTTGAAGGACAGGTACAATTATCACATATAGTTTCAAAAATAGTGGTTTACTATATTCTTTCAAATCTCCATTAAATATATTTCTTAAAGCTTTTTTGTAATTTTAAAACCTTTAAAACACGATTCACCCCCCCCCCCACATATATATGACAAAAAAATCTGTCACCATAACTTTTATTCCCTGAAATAATGCTATACATACAATTCTAAGTGTCCACAGACTTATCACACCTTTAAGCTCATACAACAAAAAACACAGATGCCAATCTTCTACATAATACATATACTGTCAATTTATTCATGCCAATTCAAAAGACCGTCCAAGATAAAGCCAAGATAAGATTAAAATATGGTAAAAAGAGGCAAAATTTGAAAGGTTGTACGTTGAGATGGGAAGTTTGTGTCTGAGGGATCGATGTCACGATAGCTCAAGTGGTTAAAGGAGCGGCGTATTGAGCCGAAGTTCGAGGGTTCGGATCCCTCTCGTGACACTGGCTTTTTCATCTCAACCCTGACCTTAGATAAAAAGTATAATTAATTAGGAATATCTATCTTTTTATTTTTTCTATAAAATGACATTATTTGACGAGAAAAATGAGCTTTGTTTCAAGATTTGAATATTGATTTAGAAGTTATGAATTACTTAGTAAAGTAGAAGGCAGATCATAAAATGCCAAGTTTAGGGAGGGGTAAAGCCAAGTCGTTTGGTTCATTCCAGTGGTTAATCTCCTAAGTAAAATATCTTCAAAACCTGATGGAACCATACCACAGGTATGAGGCACGCGAAGAGATTCATAGGACCATCCGCAAAACTTACAAAAGAATTACTGGAAAGCAACCGCCTCCTGACAGCGCACTGTCACTTAAGAAAGTACACGCACCGGATAGGAGTACAGACAGAAGGAACAATGTGCTCTGGAAGAGGAAGAGACTACAGAACACATTATGTTTCCGTTAATGTCTATGTAGGTACAAGTTCTTGTAACTAGGACTAAAAAATCCGCAAGCAAGATCCCTATACCAAGGAGCCGCTGGTAAAGCTATAGGGATAACCTGAAGCTGGTCAATGAGTTATAAAAAGCTGGGAAGCTCAATAATTCTATTCAGGTCGAGGTGCAGTAGGCTTTGAGGCCGCCTCTTTTATCCCTATAAGTAATAAACTTCAATAACGAAGGTAGAGGACACTGCTAGACAACTTAGACTTAAATAGAAGTTTCCGACCCCTTTGTAAGCATAGTACACATATACAAGATAAACTGCATATATTTTGTTTGTTAGATAAAGATAAAAATTGAAAAAATCGTATTTTTATGTGTCCGATGTTTATATAAATATATATCTTTTATATAATATGACTAGACAATTATATGATAAAGGTAGTTTTATGAGTGCCGTTTTAAAAATATTGTGATTCCATCACCGGAGGGGTTTTTATTGGAAAACCGGTTCGCGAAGATCAGCCCTCTTTATTTATTTTGTGAACTGACTATCAGCGTCTGGAGTGCAGGATGAATTTGAAAACTATCATAGGATCGGACCTCTTGGACCTTGACAGCCGGGGAGACGGTCGAAGGCGTCCGGAGGGAGGATGAGCGGCCGGGAAAGTTTTTGTTTATGTCCGGATAACAACAATTTTTGGAAGGAGTTTGACAAGAGACGGGTGAGATGGTGGCTTCGGAGTCGGGGCCGGGAGCGAAGAGAAGAGGGGCGGCCCCCTCTTTGCAACCCCGGGGCAACGGTCGTATATATAGCTTGTGGGAGGCCGGAAGATCGGCTCAGTTAGCTTTGTGACGTTATAGTGGTGCCTCCGTACCGGTACGGACCATCTGCGATTCGACAGGAGTCAGGCAAACGGTAAGTGTCAATTCTGTCAGAGGTCCGCGAGTGGTCGAGTGTCAGTGCAAGGAGCCCGCAGCGGGCCGTATTCACCCCGGGGACGGCCGACGGCCACGTCGCGGACGCCGCTCTTCACAAAGGCCCTGCACCACCAAAGAAATAACGACACGTCGTCGGCCACGCACGACCCGTACGCAATCCGTACCGACGACGTACCGTGGCGGGGTTGCAAGGGGATGCGGTATCGAACCGTCTGGACCGAACGCTTCCGACGCCCACCCCCATTCGGTTTCCCTCTTTTCACGCCCCCTCCCGCCGGGGGTTGTTCTCGCCCCCTTTCTGCCCATTTTGTGAACCCCGCAAAATTTGTGATACAACCGTCTGTGCATCATCTCTCGTCAAATACCGGATAACTGATTGTGATTCCAATTGAGCCGGTAAGGAACTCGTTGGGGAAATGTGTTTCTTTGTACACCCAATCGAGCAAAACCCTTCACTTAGTTTTTGTTGTTTTTTGTGTGTGCGAGATTTGCCAAAAATCTCAATCAAGCCGTTAAGTTTGACAAATTATGACCAAAACACACAGGAAAAGCTCGATCCTATCATTTAAACATCAAGCTTTATTCCCAAACGCGTAATTTTTCTTACTTTACAGTTAAGCCTCTCTAAGTTTCTAAGTTAAATTTGAAATAAAATTCATCAAAAATAGCCAATAATATAAAAATATAAAACTTACATTAGTTAACAACAAAGTCAATAAATAATTTTTTTTTAAAAGTGAAAATTTTATTTACTTCATGGTAACAAAAGTATAAATCCATATTTTTTGGATTTATATTAATTATAACATGTAAAAATTGTATGTGAAACTTCGCAATTCCTTCACCTTTCTTACTTTACAGATAAGCCTCTCTAAGTTTCTAAGTTAAATTTGAAATAAAATTAATCAAAAATAGCCAATAATATAAAAATATAAAACTTACATTAGTTAACAACAAAGTCAATAAATAATTTTTTAAAAAAAGTGAAAATTTTATTTACTTCATCGTAACAAAAGTATAAATCCATATTTGTTGGATTTATATTAATTACATGTCAAACTCGTATGTGAAACTTCGAAACTCTCTGCCTTTCTTATTTTACAATTAAGCCTCTTTAAGTTTCTAAGTTAAAATTTGAAATAAAATTAATCAAGAATAACTAATAATATAAAAATATATTACTTACCTTAGTTAACAACAAAGTCAATAAATACTTTAAAACAAACATGAAAATTTTATTTTCTTCATCGTAATCAATGTATAAATCCCGATTTGATGAATTTTACTAATTACAACATGTAAAAATACTATGTGAAAGTTCGCAATTTCATACTGCCCCACAAGAGAAAAAAAGTCCAAAGGAATAAAGTAAATCGTTCTATTCTAGCATTTTTTTAACATATTGTTACATATTTTTCCTCGTATTTAATTGTTTTAAATTAATGTACGTTTTAATTTTACTGAAATGTTCAATGTATCGCGCTGAATTTTTGCACCACGACATGTTTTGTCATTGAACTTGAGTCTATTTTCGATATGAACGGTCAAGCCCAGATTTTTTTGACAAACTTCCTGTAAACAAGAGCTGTGCTGTGAGACTGAACAAATTTCAAAAACTGCCTAGTATCACCTCTTATTATAATAGTATAATAATAATAAAATTTTTGATATTGCTGATTCTGGCAAAAATTGTAGCACGAAGAATTCGAGAAAATTAATTTTTTTGTGAAATATTAGTTAAAAACGTGCAAAATTGCTTAAAAATGGATAAATTCGATTAAACATTTTTCTATGTTTTGCTTATTGAATACCCCAGTAAAATTTTATCATTCTGGAAAAAATCTTTCGAGAAAATTAATTTTTTTGTGAAATATTAGTTAAAAACGTGCAAAATTGCTTAAAAATGGATAAATTCGATTAATTATTTTTCTATGTTTTGCTTATTTAATACCCCAGTAAAATTTTATCATTCTGGAAAAAAATCTTTCTTTTGCACCTTATCAATACAAAATGTTCAAAATTAATCTAAATCATGTCAAAATCATATAAAAAAGAGGCTCTTTGAAGTACAAGCTTAACATAAATTTATTATTAATGAGCAGGTTTATGTTAATTGAAGCATAATGGTGTTTTTATGTCATAAGAAATAATTAAACAGGCTAATTTCAGGGCTGGAATTAATCATCGTACCATCTTGTTTCACTTGTTTTCGTTAAAATCCATGAATTATTTCTGCTGATAAGTCAAATACGTCGACGTAGATGGGATCGTGTTGAATTTTATTTCCGAGTCACCGGCCCGTGAGTTGTTATCCATTCCCGGTCAATTATCCGTGCTCGCGCCTCGCGCTCATAAAGGAAGCACCGGTTGGCTGTGCGACGCCATAGAAAGGCACCAGGGCCCGGGGATACGAGTGGAAAAAAATCTGTGGCCGCACATCATCTCTCGCAACCTGACGTGGGAAACCGGTTTATGAACAATTTTCAAGGACGGCGTACCAAAATTCGAATCCCGGTGTCCCAGGGGTAAAAATCCCCCCCGTCAAGATTGTCCAAACTTTCCTGTCTGAACTGAAATAAACACCTTCTTAGACTATTAAAAACAACTTGCTAAACTCAGTTGTATGATCTGAAATTACTTTCAATAACTGCCATTTAGTCGATATAGTAAATATTAATAATTTCATAATCTTCCTGTTTACCGAATTCTTCGGTTCAATGGAAAATAAAACATGAAATACGGTTGAAAACATAAAAATAAAAAAAATAGACAGAAAAACAGGGTTTTATAAGCGATTTCAGTGAAGGTCTTCCAGCACCACTTCGGTTGTAAATAAGATTTAGATGAGACAAAGATGGGATACTACTAAAAGAGTGTAAAATGGTCCTTTTCATTTTTTGGTCTGTATATCCTCCCTATTTTACAACCGCTCACGCACGCACGCGCGCACACGCACACACCGTGACCTTTCTTCTTGAAGTCAGCGCGGTGATGATCCTTTTGATCCTGTCTTAATCCAGTTCGGTCAATTAGACCTGTATATCCTCGCGACTTTATTTCTAAAAATAAGTCACTCACAAAACATGTTACAATATCTTTGTTTACACCATCAACAGAAAATAAAGATACTAATTTACTTGAAACTAAATTAACAACACTACACAAACATAGAAATAACATACAAACTAAAAAATAATAATATATATAATACGGAACTTGCTATTATTTACAAAATATATATATTTAATATATAGGGAAAAAAGAGGAGGCCACATGGCCTTCTGCACCTCGAACTGAGTAGATATATTTTGATCCCCTAATTTTATAAATCACTGGCTAACTTCAAGGTTGTTAATCAACCTCCATAGCCTTGGCAGCGGCTGCTTGCTGCAGTTGCTTGCTGTTTTTCCTCTCCTAGTTGCAAGATAGATGCTCTCTTCTTTTTCCTGACAGTATCCGCACATTATTTCTTTTATCAGGAATCCGACCATAATCCTGGGTCTCTTGAGATCGTTTTTCAATGAATATTACTCTTCGCGAGTCTCATGCCTGGGGTGTTGTACTTTTAAGAGGGTTTTTCTGGCAAGGTGCTAGGCCACAATAGTGTTCGGGGAGAATTCTTACTGGCTCCTTTTTTGGCCAACCTATCCACCCTCCTTCGAATGCCCAGTGACCAGGTCATTGGTTCATCACATTCTGCCAGGGATTTCATACAATTTCAAACGCTTTTTGCTATTACCTCAAATAAGACTTAAGGCCTTAACTGCGGAAAAATGGCTGTTTATGTGTGCCTAGCCTTTTTATTTCTCTGGTGTTCAGTTGGTATAATTTCAGAGAGGAAAAGCGTAGCGTATCTAAGTTTTGAGTCAGCTCGGTCTTCGGATTCGGCCCGAGGACTCCAGCTCCTGCGCCTCTATCCTTTTCTGAGCCATCAGTATTGACTGTACCGTTCTTTTAGCTCGATTAGGATTTTTATTTGCAGTATTAAAAAAATGAATAAACATTTTTATTCAAACAGTACCCCAGCACTTCACTTTTAAACAAAGCAAAATTTAATATTGGATCAAAATAATTTTCAAATGTCATATAAATACAAAGATTTTTTTTTTGATGTCTGTGGTATGATGAATAGTTTGGTCAGTTTTGAATTAGTAAAAAAAAAACGGTTCATTGCCCAGTAATCTTCAAAATAAAATTCAAGTACAATTCTTTGTTCAAAGATTTTAATTATTTGATTTTTTCAACATCCCAGGAACCTTTAATATCGAATGAGAAATTATAGAATTTATATCACATCAGAGAATACTTTTTTGTGGGTCTGATAATCAAAAGAATCTTGTAAAATGGTGAACCCATAAAGCGATCATAAACTGAAGATGCGGTAACTACAGACCCCTTTCTGACCAAAAACCGCATATGGAGGCATTCAAAAAGATTTGTATGCTCTGCATATATGTTTTGGCTAAGACTTATGAATCTTCTTTTCTAATTATTTGAAAATAAGTCTTTTTTGCTCATACAGATTTTCATTGTAATTGTATTAAATCGTCATATTGCCTTAGTAAAGGAATAATTAACCGAATTCAAATTACTGATTGGTCTTAGTATTTCTGAATAGGGTAGAGACGAGACGTGACTGAGAAATAAATTACACAGTCGTTTCCCAGTAGGACGGTCGAAAGTCGTAGTTTTGCACGTGTGCGGCATGCGAACAGTTGAAATACGCCGACCCTTCGGTCCATCTGTGCGAATTCAAAAGATGGCAACACGACTCCGCCCTGTCCATCCCTTTGTTCAACAAGGGCGGGCAAAAGTACAAAAAAAAAGGGCCGGCTCAAGGACCACAATAGGCTAAGCACGCGTGAACCGTGAGCGGTGCGGGTCTGCCTATACAGTTTGCCCAATTCCGGAACGTCGCATTGTAACCGATTAAGATCCTATCACGACTTAATTTTTCTATAAATTAAACTTTTAGGA